CGACCATAACTCTCCCCTGATGCAGAGCAGGGTTGCCGGGCAGGGAACACAGGCGACTTCCCATCGCTTGCTCTCTGCTCCCAGAGAACCCCTGGAGCCCTGAGGTCAGGGATCTTTTGTCTGTGCCTTCAGGCTCCACCCCAGAACAACCCCCTCCCGCCGCGCCCCCCCTTCCCACACACACTTCTCTAGCTGAGTGACCTTTCTGAGCCCAGGGCCGGTCTGGCTCCAGGGAAGGGCCTCGCTTGGCCTGGGAAAATAGGTCCCGATGTACCAAATTCAGACCCTGCACCGTGGTAAGGTTGGTTAGGCTGGGAGCTCAGAGGCAGGAGGCCACCGAGGCTCCCGCTATGCCCTGGGCGTGTGGCAGGGGCCCACTTGCTGCTGTTTCATTTTGCAGGGATGGAGTTTGGGGGACACTTTTCTTTCCCCCCAAACTTGGCTGTGGTGGAAGCCTGTTGAAAAAGTAACGGTAAAGCCCGGCCAGTGTGGCTCAGTGGTTGAGCGTCAAACCTATGAACCTGGAGGTCATGGTTTGATTCCCCGTCAGGGCACCTGCCTGGGTTGTGGGCTCGATCCCCAGTGTGGGGCGTGCAGGAGGCAGGCGATCCGTGGTTCTCTCTCATCATTGATGCTTCTATCTCTCTCTCCCTCTCCCCTCCCCTCTGAAGTCCATAAAGGTAGATATTTTTAGAAGTAACAGTAAAATCCAGGCCGAAGGGACAGAGAGTCCCCCGATGCAGGCATGAAAGGAGGCAGAACCCCCAAATTGGCTCCAGAGAACCCAGAGCCAGTTCCCGGCAGCCTCTGGACAAGTTTTCCCTGATGCTGATTGCTCCACGAGCGACGCTGGCCTTTTCCCGCTGACTTCTCTGTCTCCTATTTCTAAACCCACGTTTAAAATATTGCCGTGTGGACACCATCTTACAGTGGTGACTTTGGCTACCTGGTGACAGGCGGCATCCGTGGATTTATTTCCAGAGGGGCCAGGAGCTCCCCTCTGGTTCCCCCAAACAGCTGGCATTTCTCTGATTAAAAAAATAAATCGATCTCTGCAAACCCTGGGGCTGGCTGGAGCATCATGAGTTGCTATGGTAACAGGACAAAATAATCAGAGGGCTGTTTAGCTCCCATAGGCTGAGCCTGCACAGAGGTTGGGTTCTTTTTTGTTTATGCTCCCGGTTGCATGTGGCGCATTTAGTCCATGCTCAGCCCTGCGCGTGGGGCAAGGAGCAGTGCCACCCAAGGGGGCGGGGGGCGGGGAGACCCTGGGGTTTGTTGAGCACCTGCTGCATGACAGACCCGCGCCCGTGCGCTTCCTCACAGTGAACCCTTACGAGTCTGACCCAGGCGAGGCCACCCGTTTTACAGGTCAGGAGATCAAACTTCAACACGACCTGATCGTTTTCTGTGGGGAAGGGAAGAGCTGGGTTTCCAGCCTGGGCCTGGAGCTAGGCTGGTGCTCACCCAGGTTTCCACCGTGTGGCTTCTCCCTAGGACAGTGTCAGGCACAGGGAGACATGCTTAAGGATGGCTCATCTCGCCTTCCCCCCCGGAAGTGGTCTGACCACAGTGCCGTGTAGTCTATGGGGTGGCGTTCTGGAGCTGCCCTGTCCCACGGGGCAGGAGCTCTTACTCCTTTATCTGTAGCATTAACCGCGCTTGGCCAACGTGCTCTGGGTGTGCAGTGACCACCAGGTGTGGGTGACCGAGGCCTGTCCCCACACATCAGCAGCAAGCCGTTTGGCGGAGAGGTGGTCGTGCCTCCATCCACGTGCTCAGCAGGTGTTGAGTACCTGCCTTGGGCCAAGCTCTGTGTCCGGCACGGGGACGGGATGCTTGGGGCAGAGTTGCATTCTGGGTACTCCCAGGTAGTGGAGAAATGATGAGCCAGGCCATCCCCAGCAGCGGTGACCAGGGGGGCTGGCACATAGTAGGTCCAGCACAGGTATCTGTTAGATGCTTGGATGACGGCCAGACAAGATGCGTGAGCATGAAAAGCCATTCTCAGGAAAAGACAGTGCACTTGAGGTGCCGAAGGCTCTCCTCCCACACACATGCCTCATCGGGACAGTGAGGGTGCAGGCTCTGATGGAGGAGAGCAGGTAAGGTTCCCCGTGGGCCTGGGAATGAGGGCGTTCTAGGCCGAGGCCGGCAGGAGGGAGGCCCAGCAGGCACTCAGGGTAGGGGCGCAGGAGCTGGAAGAGAGGGCCAGGGCCGGGTCACCGAGGCGCCGACAGGTGGGGTGAGACGTCCACTGGAATCAGTGGGCAGTGGGAGCCGCTGCAGGTCACGGAGCAGGGACTGGTGGAGGCTGAGGCAGCGGTTGGAGAAAACCTTAGTCCCGTAGAGCAGCGGTTGCCAACCGGTGGTCCGAAAGGTTGGTGACCACTGCCATCGAGGACCAAGCGGAAGGGCTGGGTGGAGTCAGGGCGCACACCAGTTTGACTGACTGATTGAGCCAAAGAACCCAGACCCGAGTGAACCTCAATCCAAGCCTCCTCCCCTTCAGAATGTTGTGAGTGTGATTCCTGTCTGTATCCTTTAAAAGGCCCAGGGGCCCAGCTGGCATGGTCCAGTGGTTGAGCATTGACCTATGAACCAGGAGGTCACGGTTCAATTCCCAGCCTGGATTGTGGGCTCGATCCCCAGTGGGGGGTGTGCATGAGGCAGCCGATGAATGATTCTCCCTCATCATTGATGTTTCTATCTCTCTCTCTCCATCTCCCTTACTCTCTGAAATTAGTAAAAATTATATGTTGTTTCTTTAAAGGCCCAGGGCATATAAGCTATTTCAGAAAGATTTCCCTCTCAAAAGCCAGGATTACAGAGACACCCCTCTTGGATGTACAGGGCGCACATCCGTCGTCCGGCTAATCCCCTTAGGCCGTGCGTCCTCCGTGCGGCAGGCACTAGGGGGACAGGTCCAGCTGTGTCCGGCTCAGAGGCGGCTGTGGCCCTGGAGCTGTGAAGACTCGGCTCACGGACCTCCGCTCACCCTGAGCCCTGGGGGTGCTCGGCCACCTCCTCCAGGCTGGACACTCCCACCCACCCACACAGGCCCGGGGCCCTGGAGACTCCGGAGGGTCGGGCAGTGAACAGGAGTGTCTGTGTCTCTCTGACCAGCCGTGGTTGGGGGCAGCTAGCCAGGCCCCAGGGGGCTGGAGAACCAGACTCTGAGGACTGAGCCCCAAACCCTGTCATTGGGGGTAGCCCCTCTCCACAGACGGCCCCCTTCATTCCTTCCCTCTCTCCTGCAAGTGCATGCTGCCCCCACATCATAGGGGGCGGCGATCTCATCCTTTTCCCCTAAATCCGGGCTGGCCTTGGTGGCTTCCTTGACCAGGAGAAGGCCATGGGAGTGACGGGGGACCCTGGGGGTAGCTGGTAGGAAGCCTGCAGCTCCCTCCGGGGACTCTGGGGACGCTCGCTCTGAGGGAGTCCACCATCACGCAAGGAATGCGACCTCCACGCTGCAGGAAGGGGATGAACACGTAAGGAGCCTACTGTGTGCTGGGCCAGCGCCGGGGACAGACCCAGGGGCCGGGAGTGCCGCTCACATTTTCCTGTGTGGCCCACCCCAGACACTCCCTCGGGGCCGGGCCTGGGAGTGAGCGTCAGTGTCCCTCCCACTCCCCAGGTGATGCCAGTGTTCCGTGTAGGTGGAGACGGAGCTTAAACCCTCCTGCAGGGCTGCCCCTCCCCTCGCGGGATGGGGCAGATCCGTGGCCCTTTGGTGCCTTTAGGTCATGAAAGTCATATGGCGCCTGGAAGCCACACAGCATCGATTCAGCTACTTCAGGGCCAGGATAACAGAACCTGGGAACTCGCTCCAGAATGAAGGTTCTCCCTCCCTCCCTCCAAACCTGCCACAGGTGGGAAACCTGTGTCGGGGTGGGTACCGTTACTGCCCCCACCCCCACCCCCGGCACAGACAGGAGGAGATGCAGAGCCAGGGGGGCTCGGCCGCGAGGCAGAGGGGCCAGGAGGGGAGCCCCATCTGCTAACCACTGGGCCATCCTTTCGTATCACCTACCACCTCAAGGAGCAGTCCAGATTCGGGGAGCGGAGCAGTGAGATAACCAGGGATCCTCATGGGTCATCTTCAGGACTTATGGGTCCTGCTAGGTACACACAGCGTTGGGCTTGTGTGCATTTTAAACAAGTCGTTAAAGAGGTCTGCTGAGCAGGGGTCACAGCTGAGTGGCTTAAAACGACAGACGTTTAATCTCTCCCAGTTCTGCCGGCTATAAGGCGGAATCCAGGTCCGCGGCCGAGGTCTCTGTGGGCTGCAGGGGGCGCGCACTCCATGCCTCTCCCTAGCTCCATAGCGCTGCCGGCAGCCCTCGGC